GAACTCATCTCACAAAGAATTTCTGCATTTTCTTCTATTATTACGAACAAAGTAGGTTACTTGGTCTTGTCTTGGACTAATTTGCTCTGAAATGTCCTTTTGCCATGTAATTTCTCAAATTGTCATCCCCAAAAATAGGATACTGAAGAAACAGTGTGGGTACTACTAGCCTTTTGTTTTGAAATAGAAATGTTGAAATGCAAATGGTACCTCTTGGATAACATTTTGTCTATGTTTTCATCTCTCTTGTTGGCAACTTGTTACTGCTATTCCGTTGCTTGTATAGAATTTTTTAGCATTTCTAAGAAAGTGCTTCTTGGTTTTATTTATTAATTAGAGGAAACAAGTGCGATAAAATTGCACAGAGAGTTTAAAGTTGAATTCAGTTTTACTTACGTATATATTTATTTGTGAAATTATTATATTCAGACAGGAAAAGGAATGAATTCTGCCTATATGTTGATTTCCTCCACACTGGAAACACTCTGTCTTACACTGAACTGCCCAAATCCTCTCTGCTCATTTCCACACCATTGCCCAATGCTGCCTTGCGTGCACTCCTGCCCTCTTGACCCCGCCATGTTCTCTACGATCACTGGTGGTAACATCTTGAAAATTACTAATCAATTCAGGAGTGTAGTGGAAACACACATTGAAAAATGCAAGTGCAACTTCAGACTGCACTGTACTGCATGCTCTAACTGTGCACAAAACATGTATTGTGAACTTCAATTCCATGGTACTGCATAACTAAATACTGTCCTCTGCTGGAACACACTGGATGTGACTTTTTTTTAAATTAATATTTATATAGCTTGTTCAAAGATGTAAGTTACTCTTGCTTGATAGCTGGAAGTCCCTGATCACTGCAACACTTTATATGCTGAGATAGATTCAGTAGTTCATTCAGGAAAGGAATGTTTACATAACATGTTTTATATTTGATTGTCCTTTGCGGTGAAAGTAGTCTGGCTCTTGCAGAACTTCCATGGCATTGTATCTATTTATATACTATTATTCTGATTTAATTCTGCCGTTATCATGTCTAGAACAGGGGTGCAAGGCCTCAAGGGCCGCAACTGAAACTTTTAATAATGTTTAATTGGCCATATTTCCATTATCCAGGTGATTCACATGTGACTTAATATTGTTGATCTCAGCAGTTTGCCTGGTTGCTCTGAAATGGGGGGGTGGGGGTGAAACTATGTGTCGTATCAGGCAATACCATGCAAAACTCAGTGAAACACATTGGGAGGATTTAGAATTTCTGAATTCACTTGAAAAAATGCTTTAAATCTACAATTATTCTATTTTTACGTTAAAGGGGGGTGTTGACCCAGCAGGGCATGTGTGCTAGACTCACAATGTTATCACCTGACATGGATGCAGGGGATTTTCACATTTGACTAATAACCTTTCGCGAGCCACAATAAATGGCACCACGGGCTGCATGTATTGTTAATTTTTACCATCTCCAACTAGGTCCTTGATTTAGATTAGTACTATGCATATGTATGGAAAAATTAAATTCTCAGAAATCAACACTATTGTGCACATGCAAAGGTAAAGAGGAATAAAATGTATAAGTTGATATTACTAACTTTCATTGTTTTACTGTTTTTGAACGTTTGTTACTAGAGATTTTACGATTTAAATTTTTTAAAACTGCAGAACTCCATCATGGATCTGATAAATTTTGAAAAAGAGCAATTTAAAGTCACTCTCATGTTTTATTTCATATTTTTCCAATAGCGTTCCAAAGTGATTCGAGGACAAGTATGGGTCATTTGGCAAGAAAGGGAGAAAAGAAAGAAAACTTCGAGAGTTACATCAACATATCTGATGATGATGATAATAATATACTACTTCCCTTTGTTCATGTTTGTTGATAGGACAATTTTGTCCTCGTGTCTGATATTACATCACCAATTCCTCCTGGGCTGTGGAGAAAAGGAATAGAACATCCAAAAGCCAAGTGTATTTTGCTGCGATTTGCCACACGTTCTGATCGCAAGCCTCCTGGAGCAGAAAAGATGAGTGACTATTACAAAAAATATGGCAATCCAAATTACGGAGGTTAGTGAGAATGACTTTTTACATTTAATTTAAGATTTTTTTTTCTTGACTTGGTGACATTTTAATAAATAAGAGTCAGGTTAATAAACAGGAGTCAAGTGTCCTACTTCTAATGTAGCAAGATTTGTGTTCACCAGATCAATTAAAATTTACTTCGGGATAATTTAATACAAAAACCAACATCAATTTAAACTATTTGTGTTACTACACACATACATTCTCGTATTATTGATAATGGCTACATATCATTATATTACAACATCTATCCTACTGACTCTTCAGCCATCACTTGAAAAACTCCGAACCAAAGACGTGCAAGAAGTAAAAAAATATACATCTTTTTAATTTTTGAAAATTTGGAAGTTTAATTGAAAATATTTTTTTGCTGTCAAATTTAGTGTATTGTGTTCTATTTCTTCTATCAAAAAATGTATAGAAATAAATGCTTATGATAGGAATCTAACTACTGCATTAAGACAATTGTCATATCAAAAGGAAAGTTGAATTTTTACTTAAGTCATATCATAGGAGGTTTTTCGGAAAAAAAACAACACTTTTTTGGTATCAAGGAGCCACAAAAACAAATCCAAACTTAGCTATAGCAATTTACTACACATAAGAGCATGCAAATCATGTTTTTAAATAGGGACTCACAAAAGGTAGTTTTCTGTTGATAAATTGGCAATTTTCCTGCAGCATTATGTTTGTCATAGTATGTAGTAGATTAGTGAAAGTAAAAATCAAATTATTTAAGGAAAGTTAAGAGGAACTTTTCTTTGTAGTAATATGATTTATGCTTTTGGTTTGCAATTTGGAGGTGATCTAACGTTTTTGAGGAATGGGAAAAGTGATTTACCAGTGAATATAACATTTTTGAGGAATGGGAAAAGTGATTCAATGTTAGCACTAAGAAAATGATTGGGTAGTTGGTCTGCAAATACTGAACCAAAGGAAACCATTTCTCTGAAACAAGCTTGACTATCCCAAGTACTGCTATTGTTTCTGATGTGAACTGTTGCTTGACACAGAAGAGTTGACTTGAGAAATTGGTAAACAATTGAACAGCTTGACTCAAGAAAGTCGTAAGCCACATTAAGTTCATTCTTAGAAATGGATAACTTTCTTTGTCACAGCATAAAATACACTGTAAAGTATGAAAGTCGACTGTAGTACAGCGTTATTTCTTACACCAACATCGCAATACTTGCAAAAACTGTAATAATTGTATGGTGAGTATGTTAGTAAGAGAATCTTATTTTTATTGAAAATGTGGCGCAATACTATCTGAATCCAAGCCCTTCAATTGTTTGTGTGTACATAGTTTATTTGAAAGGTTCATGCCTCTTGATTTGTGAGGTGGCTGACATTGTCTTCACTCGTCTTGACCAAAGGACTTGCATTCATGATATCAATTAAGTTTTACCTCAGAGCATAAAAACATGAAATTATGTAGTTGATAATATAGAGAAGTAATTTAAGTAAATAGTAGAGAGTTGTTTTGATGAGACCAAGGTAATGACAATGCTAATTTACCTCTCATATGAAAAATATTATTGGAGTTTATCCTTTAATGGTGAGAAATGTGCTAATTGAATTGTTGAAAACAATTTTTGGGTTCTGTGATAAGAGGTTGCAAAATTAACTTTATTATAAGAACAGATATGAAAGTAAATTTTGAATTAGTATACTTCAGTTGTTTGTTTTCAGTTCTTGAAGATGAGGTTCTTTTTGTTTATAGGAATCAAAGGACTCATCACCAGTTCAAGGAAACGACGATATCGTAGAACAGATGTACCTCCAAAGCCAATTAATTTTGAAGATGATCTTGGTGATGGAAGGGAATATAGAGATGCTGGTAAAATGGAGGACAGTAAAAATCCCTGGGGGAACTTGGCAAAAAGTTGGAGTAACATTGATAAGAATCGAGGAAAAAAGAAACCAGGTAAATTATCTAGAAAATGTAATTAATCAAGCAGGTATTACAAAGAAATTCAAAAATTTAACATGCATTTTTTACTCCAATAGAGCCATATTATGCTGATAGTCCTCCCAGAAGAATGACCCCACCGCCATCCCCACAAATGGACTTTGTGAAAAGTAGATCTATCCTGAAGAGACTTGGCACCTTGGATGGAATGTCACGAATCCATCGCACAACACACAATTCAGAAGAAGAATCTGCCTCTTCTTGTGAGGACGATATGGAGTGGACCAGACGAAGCAAAGTTCCAAGAATGCGAATGTATGCTGATGAAGAGGAGATGCGCATGGTTCGACGGAAAGGGGTTACGCTGCAGGGCAGCAGTCAAAGAGAAAGTTCAGAGTCCTGGAGAGACTTGAGGCTGGATGACAGAGACAGAGATTCGAGACAAAGCAGAGATAGGGAGACTTCTGAACATGTGAGTAGGAGTAGGGTAAGGAATTCAGAAGATTTAAGAAGTAGATTAGAGAGAGATCGTAGAGGACACAGTGGTCAAAGAGGCACAAGAAACTGGTTGCTTTCTTCCAAATCAGGAAGAAGAACAGCTTCTCCTAAAGCTAAAAGCAGACTTGATGACCTTGAGAGTGAAAGTGAATCTGAATCAGTTGAAGATAACTTGGAAGAGGAAGGATTCAGTGCTAGAATTACAGATCTCCGAAGCACCTTGAACTCTGGTAAGAAACAGAGAGTTGAGTTTCAAGCTGAAGACCTCCGATCCAAATTAAATAAAAAGAAAACTCTTAAGCATTTCTCACGACCCAAATCTCCTCTTCGCATTGAAATAGATAATGATGAGTATTACCGTTTAATTGAAAGTGACCATGAGTGAAAAAGGACACCTTTTGTAATTTAGAAGAGCACAGTGGGCCTAAATTTTTCATTTGTAATGAATGTATATTTTAGTAGCACAAATTGTGCTAAATAATTGACTAGAATTGGAAATGGATATTCTGTATTTCTTAAGAATCTCTTTGTTGAAGTGATGTACATAAACACTCAATGGTATTTGATGCTTCACATTCTTATCCTTTGAAGATGTAATATAATGAACTTCATAATGTTGGCCCTTACTGCATGTAAGTACACATTCATTTTTTTTGCTATTCATCAATAGAATTGCATAATTTCAACCAATATTATGTTGTTCAAAAAAGAGCTGTTGTAACAAAATTATGAATTTAGAAACGGAAATGTGTGGAAATTTATCCTTGTGCAGATTTAGGCTACAACGAATATCAACAATTTCCATAAATAAACAGATAATGATAGCCTTGAAAGAAACTAGGTATGAAAGCTGTGCTTCCTAACCATCATTTTTTTATAATTAAGTCTCACTATAATTGAAGCTCACTTAATTTTATAAAAAATGATTGTTAGAGGTAGAAAAATTTACAACAGTCCTTATCAGTAATTTTTCTTTACAGAAATTTTTTTGATCAATATTTTTTATGAGAATTCAATATTTTGTGCATATACCGAATATTTATACACTTGTATTTCTCATTATATTGAGAATTCTATTATATTGGGATTTGTTGTATCTTGTGAAGATTGTGTGGTATTGCTGAAAGATGTTTTTGTGTTTGTGTTGCTACTAATGTACATAGTCTTGGAAAAGACTTCTGCCTGTATGTTTTCTGTAAATATCTTATAAGTTACTGTTCTTAGAATGAAATGTCTTTCTCATGGAGTATTCAATGCAAATTTTATATTGTCTGTTTTCGAGTGGCAATGAAGTGAAAGGCCAGGGAGATAAAAAGAAATTTCAAATCGAATTTGTATACAGTATATTTTTACTGCTTTGACATACAAATTCACTAAACCTCTGATCATATTCTCAACAATTAAATCAAATAAATTCTCAAGCACAGCTGTGAAATGTTAATACAAATTGTTAACTATAATTAAGAAAACGAACATTAAAGATCTTTAAAGAAAATACAATATGAGAACAAACCACATTTAACTCGCCTATATTAAAAAACCTACATCCTATAAAATTATGATCCCAAAACCTTTTTTGTATTGTTTTGTGAAAAAGAACTGAAATACTGCCTATTGGTTAAAAAAAATAAACTTTTATAACTATATTTTGTTTATAATACTGCCTTCAAGGAGAGTAAAAAACATAGGCATTTTCATGTAAATCTGAGTGTAGTTGTTGCATCAAACAACTTCTATTTGAGTATTCTTAGATGTAAACTTTTTAATTTATGCTTGCTTTTTCTTCAGTTCAAGCCGCATTGCTTTATCCAACAATTCGTCTCCATTTTCATCTGCCACGGATAATTTTCTGTAGCCTTCATCTTCAACAAAGCATATTTCATGACCATCCTGGGCAAACCAAGACTATTATTATTTTTTTTTATTAAAGAATCTCCACTACATTTGATATATTTTTGATATACTTACCGGATCTGACAAAATAATGACTCTCACACTTGCTTTTCCAGGTGTGTCAAGGGTAACCAAAGGAAACAAAATTTTGTTGTTAGAAGCTTCTATCTTCTTGTTAATTTCTTCCTGCTCTGCGTACGGACAAGAGAAGGCAACTCGACCAAATGCTTTTGCTCGCTCAACAGGCCCTCCTGAAAGAAAGTATAAATGGTGTGTTTAAATAAAATTTAAAAAAATATTCAGTTTACAACATTAATATTACTTTTGTATTGTACTTACCAATGTCTCTTAATTCTACTTTTGCCTGATTATCACCAAATCCAAAAGTGGCTGACCTTTCATCTTGATTATATATTTTGAGGCCAAGAATGCCATTCCAATAATCAATAGATTTTTGAAGATTAGAACTAGCTAGAATTACTTTCTGCACAGGATCTGTAATTTCCTTCTATTTTCAAAACGGCAATGTGTTGAGAGAAAAAGTTACGTTATCAAAAATTGTATACCTTCAGACACTGGCTGTGGTTCTTCTTCAATGAAATATTTGTATCCTCCTGGAGCTTCCAAAACTGAAAGGTTTCCCTCTTTCTTGATTGGCCAATCAGCCTCCTGAGCTCTCTTAATAATTTCCTTAGACTTAATAGTCATACCAATGAAGTCATTTCCCTTCTCATATGAACTGATTCCATAATTATAAGTTAATTCGACCACAAAGTGTGTATCTTCTGAACCATAACCAATCATTGTTTTGCTCCATCTGGTATCATATGGACTGTAAAGTCAATAACAAATATTTAATATTCCAATTCCATATTGTCATGACAGATAAGGTTCTACTTCAATTACAGGCAATACTAATACCCATTGCATGCGGCTTCACATCCGTCGGCAAATTCTTCATGCCTCAAAACCTGCCGAAAATATTAAATTAATTAAATAGTCTATGCCCAGTGCTGGCAGAGAAAAAAAACGTTTACTCACCTTCATGCCTAAAATCTCACGATAAAATCGGGCTGTAAGGGCTCTATCGGCTATTTTAAAAACAAAATGTAACGCTCTTCCCGACACCATTTTTCTAATATTTAACTTTTACGGTATTCCTTGGCGCTATATGAATTTTTCTGTTTCCTACCTAACACGTAAGAAGTTACCACTCCCAAACGCCTTTGTTTGAGGAAAAAAAAACACCCAAGAAAAACCCTCAAATGTGGTTTGCGGTGGAAGTTACATAACAAACAGGTGCCCGCCTTGGTTTTCGGGGTTGGTCATTCTGTACAGATTCTGTATATGTGGTGGCGACACTGGAAAAGTCGTTTATCATTTGTTTTGAATGCGCACGGCGCCCACTTGTGTGTATCCCACAGAGTTCGCTGTTCACGGTAGTTCTAATTAGCATTAAAATATGAATCGCCGAGGGCGTTGATATACATTTGTTTTCACGATTTATGCTGCTATTGATCATGGCAACGACCGTCAAATGTGCCGTGTATGCGAGTCGCATTTTGAAAGCCCAGGTTAAGTGTGTGAAAATAGAAAGTGTCAGACACTATCCTAGATGGACTCACAGAAGACCTGCATATATTGTTGAAAATACTTGTTCTAAAGACGAGAAGGAACGATGGAAACTTAATGTAGAGAGAGAAATTGTGAGGGATTCTAGAAAACAAAAAGATAATTTAGAAAATAACTTACTGTCACAGTCTTGTTCGTATCAGGAAAAAGTAGATCTGAGGAATCAAGATAGCATATCACATACTCTTTTGATGGAAAGTTTTGTAGGTGCACCTCTCAAATCACACCAGAGTGATTCAGAATCCGCAACATTTTCTGAGAATGAAAAGTCTACGAATCAAAAGCAAATTTGTTCGGAAGATAGTTCAAAACAAAGGAAATTCAGTGGCTCAGTAAATGACACCAGAAACTTTGAAGACTTTTCACTCAAAAGCCCAAAGGAATCAGGGAAACAAAGACAACAGAAAATACTAAAAAAGTTGAAAATATTTTCAGAGAAGGAGGTTGAAACAATGTTGAAGATGAGACAATCTGCACAAAAGTTAGGAGTTCCTATTTTCACTGATTTAGGAACAGATGACACAGTTTTAAGGTAAGGATCACATTCAATTTGAAGATACTTATTTGGGCTGAGCTTGTGTAGCTTATTTTTTAAATTTATGCCACATGTTCCTCATATAATTTTGTGTAAGCTGTGACTAGTTTTTGTGAAAAATGTTACTAATGTGTCCAAATATATTGAAATTAACATATCATGATCTTTTGCTCAGCCGAGCTCTTTCAATGTGCAAGTGAAAATAGAATAACTTGAGAAGTTAATAGAGCCATGAAATATTCAGAGTATAAAATTCTGTATCATGACAAAATCCCTTATTATTATTAATGTGTTAGAAGAACTGCCTTTATCTGTAATTCTCCTCAGTGATGTTTTTTCCTGTTTTCAGCCAGTACTTGACGAATGTAAAATCTAAAAAGAAAAGAGAGAAAAAACATAATATCTTGTTGGAGGGAAAAAGATTAATTAGAGATGCTGTGGATGCTGGTGTTCTCCCGGAAGCAGTGTTTTTTTCAAGATTAAAAGATTTAAAAGATCTTAATCTTCCTCATGAAGGAGTGAAAATATTCAAAATATCATATAAGAAATTGAGTTTGTGGTCTGGTGTTGCTACTTCTCCGGGTGTATTAGGTATGTCTCATAAAGAAGGCATTCAAATTACTTTGATACATACGTATTAAATTAATATCTTTTAATTGAGAACACAATTTCCATTTAGCTCTATTTTGCTTTGATTGAAGTTGCTTAAATTTTATGGAAAATTGATTGCTTCAGTGAATAACCATTTCTCTTCATTTTCTCTTTGTTTCTTGTAACACATTTCATATTAATCTAATAATTAAAAAGCAAATTTATAATTGATTTTAAGCCAAGTAAGAAATGGAAAATGTTGAAAAACACTATCTCTGCTCAAATTTACTGAACATCTTTATTATACATTCTGCATTAAGGTTAATTTGGTTAAAATTTAGTATACGGTACACCCTTAGAGAAGCATGGTGGCGGGGCTTAAGCCCTAATCACTGTATGTGCTCTAATAGAAATGAATAAAACTTACGGATAGGTGATTTTCATTGTTCTTCCTTATATGCTTTGTCCCCGCCACATTGTAACACCAATTTACCAACACTGGAATCGCGCAAAGTGCCGGTTTAAACGACTTCCTTAGGTTGTACCGTATGCTACATTTCAGCTGTTAATTTTTTTGAAAAAGAATTTTTCAAGCATTATTGTTTGGGTAATTATTATATCATTATGTTTTGGTAAATATTTTAATTATACCATGTTGCAGCAATTTTGAATACACCAAATGTCAGCAAGAAAAGACCTGCATCTTTGCCTCTGACAGTAATTTGTGATAATGTTCGTGACCCTGGGAATTTAGGAACAATTCTTCGCATTTGTGCAGGGGTAGGTTGCAGAAAGGTGGTATTAACTAAAGGTGAGGAAAATTTTGATGTATTTGTACTTGTAAAAGGAAGTTTTAGCATCTATTTTATTAGTAGTACACCTTAATTTTGATATTAAATACATAGGGAACCATGGCATTTTCTTTCATTTTATTTATAGGTAAATTGAGGAGCCTCTTAAATGTTAGGTTTTGTAGATAAATGCTGTAATTGTTGGAAATGTATTTGCTTATTTCTTCTTTATTAAAAGTTACAAAGCAACCATATCCATGAGGTAGATTTGTCTTTTATTGCAATACTCTGGTCACAAATAATTTCTTTTCTTATCTCCCCTTAATGAAGGTACTTCATAAGAAGAGTAAGTTATGTAATTGTGTGCCAGAAAACGGCAAATTGTCGACAGAAAAACTCTTATTGCCAGGCCTTGGTAACGAAAAAGTGGATAAATCCTGTTACTAAATGCAGGAAAAAAATTCATTTAACATGTGGTGTAGCCAGAATCCTTATTTTGTGTGTCCTTGATACCGAAAAAATGATTAACAGCAAAATGTTTGTCTGTGGTCAGCACTAGTGCCTAAATTGTTCAGCCAATTTTCTTCAATATTGAGATTCCCCAATCGATCTGAATGAACTTGAGGCTTTGGAAGTTCCAAATGGATATTTTGATTTTTGAGGGTACATTATATGAAGACTCAAAATATTTTCAAAACTTTCTCAAAAATGCCACCAAAACTTTGTCTTTGAATAGTGTAAACGATGCTTATGAGAATGGTGCAGGTCTCATGTTTGTTGAAATCCCAGATGTTTTTTTTTTAATTTTCAAAAGTGAAATTTTTTTTGAGAAGTCTTTCTACAACTAGAATATTGAAGGTAAGAGATATTTTTCCTTAATGAAATCTGTTCTTTAAAGACAGATCTTTAAATAAGTTCATGTTCAATTTTCCAAAGAGTAGTTTTCATGTAATTTAGGGTGAAATACTGGCAATAAAAAACCTTTTTTTCTCAAAAATTGCCCCAAATGTTTTCTTTGACTTTTTTCCAGGGATAAAAGAAGGGATGCTTAAAATAATGGCATGGGTCTCATTTTCTTTGATCTGTCTGAACTTTTTAAAATTGCAAATTTAGAAATAGCACAAGAAAGTATGCGTTGTTGTAGCACCACTAGTTTTAATTTTCCTGACTTCATTTAGCTGGTATGTTCTTGAAAATGGTGGTGAAGTAAATCTGATTCTACTTAATAGCAAATTATTGCTTATATATGCTTTGTTCATGAAGAGAAATGCCAGTTTAACACTTCTTCTATTTCATGGGAAGGCTTATTATTCGTTGCTTTACATTTCTCCCTCAACCCAGACTGTGCAGGCGTTTAAGTCTGAACACACAAGTGGCAAGAGTGTAGCATTATAGTGAGAGTGATTTGGAGTTTGTCATTATGCAAGAGTGCCTCAAGTTATGAGGTTTATGTGCTTCATATGCCTTTGTTCACCAGTAAATGTGTTGTATTGAATCATGTATTTCTTTTAGAGCAAGGATTTTTCTGTGCTCTGCTATCAGTTGAGGTAAAGTTTTACTTCTTAAATTTCTGATGAAAATAAAGTAAGTTATTTGACATGTAAATGAATATATCTGGTTTTAACACAAGAATCGTGGCAAGGATGAAAACAACTCTTACCTCAGTTGCTTCTTCAATGATGAATTCAGTTTTTAATTGTTTTCAGTTGAACATTGTGACTTTTCCTCATCTTTTATTCTCTTTATAATGACATAATTGCAATCTATAAATATTTTTTTTTTATCATATAATATGTCTAGAAGAGCAGGAGAGGTTATTTTGACACTCATATTTCATGTTAAGCTGACTCTTTCTGAACTAGATCTGTTCGTTCAGTCTAATCATACCATAATTGTGAAGATATTACTGCACTACATAGTTGATATCCCTTGCCTTGAGGAGTAATGTGATCTTCATGGTCGTACAGTTTACACCAAATTTGAGTTGGTAACTGTTGCCCTTACTTGATTTGATGGTTTCATCCTTTGTGGAAAGCAAAGAATGAAACTAGTCCAATTTTCAGTTAGTAACAATCTTTCTCATATTAGTTTCTTTGTCAGTTTGTTGTGGCTTGTGCAGTCATGACAGGTTCAATTGGTCTCTCTGATGATAAGTTGTTCCATACACTAGAAAATTCTGATTACAAGGCAGGAAGGGATATAACAAATTCAGATAAAGATTTTGTGCCAAGGAATAATGAGGATGAAGCCAGTGATTAGAGATGAATTGACAGGGCAAGAATATGTGAGTGTGGATGTAACCCAATCATCACAATAGGAGCAGCCAAATACTCTTAAGTTGAAGTTGAAGTGGTTGCCTGAGACAGAATCAAGTGGGAGGTCATCAGTGTTGACTCCTCTTCAGCTGGAAGAAGAACTTCTGTGAATGTCTTGAAAAAATGAGGTGGTTCCACTATGTGGGCATATAACCAATTACGACTGCAGTTTCTCTTGATGTCCACTAATGCTTATGAAGAAGCGATGCAAGAAATCAGCAGGAAAAAGAAACCAATATGGGAAGAATTCTACTCTATAGATGCAAATGATAATATCCGACTGGAATCAAGCCAACTATGAACTCAGACATCTGATGATGTGATTCGCTGTACACGGTTTACATAATAGAATCTGTAGTAACAGAAAATATCACAAGCTAGATTCTCAGTGTAAATGCAAAATATGCAACAAGTGCTGTGAGCATTATCATGTGAGAGATGTGAAAAACAAAACACGTCACTGAACAAGTTTAGCACCAGGTAGAGTAATGTCCCAAATTTGGTAATAGATACCCGCTTCACGCTTTCAATGTATTTGAAATTGCCTCCTGCATGAGCAGAAAACCATGCTCTTGTGACTAGAAGATGACAAGATAAGTTATGTGAATGATAATGAATTAACATGCAGAAGTATTACCAGACACAAAACATTGTTTAAATACAGAAGCTTACAAACCTATATTAATGTCCATTGGACGATCCTTAAATATTTATATAAGTTCATTCCATTCACTACTTGTTGAACCAATGCTTCATGTCATGAAGAGAAATCAGAAGCACAAAAATAATTGAAAAACAACTGGACCGTGTCTCTCGAAGAGTGGATGATTGGTGTCATGTACAGATGAGGGACTTTTTGTGCCGGAGGTATCTCAGTTGATGATCTTTGGTCATGTATAAGAACCAAAATTCCTGGATACAATGTCAAGAGACAGTTTTCAGGTGCTTCTGTTTTGACAACAAATCAACTCTAGTTAAACGCCTTCATGATGATAAGTTTGCTTTGGTGTCAGAAATGTTGGAGAGATTTGTAGAAAACCGCATTTGTTTCTGTTGCCCAGGTGAAAATGTAACAATCAATGAGCAATTACTTCCAAGGAAAACTAGTTGGAGCTATATGTTGTTTATGCCAAACAAACCTGACAATTACAGATTAGAGTTCTGAATTGCTGCTGATGTAACATCGAAGTTCATATGCAGTCTCTTTCCATGTCTTGTTAAAGAGGATGCTCAATTAAATAATCAACCATTGTGTGAATTTGTTGTTCTGTGTCTTATGGAGCAATTTTTAAACCTATTAAGAAATGTGATGACTGACAAGTTTTTCAAGTCTCTTTATTCGTGCTAAAAAGCTCAAAGAGGAGAAAACTTCAATCGTGGGAACAATCAACCCAATTTTTTCATGAAGTTCTGAAATTAAATGAAATGAAATGCTGAAATTCTTTCACACACTCCAGTAACACAAACTGCACATTGTCAGTGTATTAGTCAAGGAAGAAAATGTACTTGAAAATGCTTCTCAGCGCATGTTATCACAAAGTAGCTGTCAGTGATGAAGGAAAAAAGGAGCCTGAAACTGTAAGGTTGTAAAGTGTCACAAAATGCGGTGTAGATATGGTAGACTAAATGACTAGGAAATGTGGTAACAAAGCAGCACGCAGGAGATGGTGAAGGTTGTTTTGTATACTATATTGGACATGGCACCAATCAAAGCGTGGATTATCCACAATCTTATAATTAATGACTAGTTGAAAAGAAAAATGTTCATTCTTCAACTATTTAATGAACGAAAAGGAGGGGATTTGTCAGAAGAAGTACACAACAAAGCAGAAAAAGCTGTAGTACTGGGGTCATCCAAAAGTGAAAGAAGTGTCGGAAGACTTGTGCAAATGCACCTAAACCAGTGATTTCTGTGAGAAGTCACAGAAACTGCCACTGCTACAAAACTGTCTTTGGAAAATGTGCCAAAAAGGAGGAAATCAGTTTCAAAAACTAGAATTAGATATTTGATTCTTTTTAGGTGTGTGTTGTATTGTTTACAGCACTGTCATGTAATTTGGGGTGAATAGAATCAAATATGGTAGGCTCGTGGCTTGCTCATGGTCTGCGTGCTCGCTATCCACCGCACAGCCCCAGGTTTGATTCCCATTTCAGCGAAGAATACAGTGTTCATTTTCCTTGCAATGTTCCAGTATGTTGCTGTGTGACAATGAGAAAATTCGCTTCTCAGGTTGAAAAGACCAAAATACAGCGTGGAGCGTGGGGATGTGTATATGCTAACCACACGTACCCCCTTAAAACATGCTCCAAAGCAAGAGATGTTAATTTTTAATGTACCTCTTCTGTCGAGTTTAGATATTTCCTTATTTTATAGACAGTGTCCTGTGATCCATGACAGTCATGTACGATCTCACTTGTATACCTTCCCAACTTCCCTGCTTTATCTATCTAATTTCTCTCTGAACAATGGCCCTTTTATTTTTATATGCTATTTTGTCTTCCTTAAAATGGGATTGGAGATTCTGGGTAAGCCTTTTTCTTTTGATCAACAATTGTATTTTTTTCTTTCCAATTTTGAACACTCTTCTTATTCCTTGCTTTTGGTCTGTTACATACATTGGACTTCTCCTGCTACTTGTAATATTAGCTCTTTAAAATCATGCAATTCAACATTTACATCCATACTGATTGCTCTTTGATCTACGGAAGTTAGCAATCTTCTTATACTCTCTTGTTGTAGCAGGTATACTTTAAAATTAGTTTTATTTTATGTAATGTTTGTCTTTTTTCTGCAGATCGATTTCAGGGGTATTCGAAGTTTACAAAGGATTAGGAAGTGGTCTGTACTAATGTCACAGCTCCTGTATACTCCTGTATCATTCATGTTTGGGGAAAGTGTCTTGTTGGACAGAATGTAGGCAATTATTGATTTTTTTTTCGTGGAAGAAGGTATTAGTTATTTTAAATGCTTTAAAAGTGACATTATTTCTCAGGGCTATGCCATTCTCATTTAAAGTTTGTTCTCCATTATCCCCAATTAGATTTCCCATTATTTTTAATCCAACACGTGCATTAAAATCACCTCCAATTGCTATGAAATCTTTCTTTTTTACAATGGGAGTGGAGGAATACATAAAAGTTTATGCTTTCTTCTTTACATCCCTGTTCAGGTGCATAAATGCAGATAATCATAAGATATCCTCTAAGATAATCATAAGATGTTTTTAGTCACACATTTATTTTCTTGTCACTTTCAAAATTATAGCTCTGCAGTTCTGCTTTCGCCCCATTCCGGGGACTTGCTGTTAAAGTCTCCAGCCAATATTATTTAACCTGGGGCTGAGTTCATGCTTGCCTCCAGTTCATCGATTTGCTTCTTAAATTTCTCTATTAGGTCGTTTGGGGAAAAATAGCAACTATATATTCTAAGGCTGTCCATTTCTACCCATACAAAACCTTGGTTTGTAACTTTAAATTTAGAGACTCTTATTATGGAGTTAAGTATTATAATTCCTGCACGTCTGGTCGTGTCCTGGTAGAGTGATATGCCAAAATCGTGCTGCTCACTGACCAGTAAGACCTGTCTTTCCCTTGCCGTTTGAATGAGAAGATCTTAGGAGGTCATTCCTTTGCCTAAATTAATTTGAAGGAACCTAGGCATTCTTTGTTTTACCGAGTTTACTTAGTTCTGCAGTGAAGGAAGGGCATTAATAGCTACCCAGATTGTGATCGTCTTCTAGGTTTTGGTCTTTGCAAACAATACATTGAACTGGCCCTCTGCAGACCTTGGCCAACTGTCCCTTTTTGTCACATTTGCTGCATACTTCACTTCTGCCGGGGACGTTGCAAGAGGTGGAGATATGGCCAAAGTCTAGACATTTAAAGCATCTGCTGACCTGGTGCTTCATCCTAACGTGGCAAGTATGCCAGCCAATTTCAAAATTCTCTGCTTTGAGTAGAATTTCTGCCTGGCGCAAAGGGAGCAGTGCAGTCGCTACCTGTCTGCCTCCGTACACCTTGTATTGTCTCCAGGTCGCCGGGGGAAGTCCCCCGTAATGCGTGTGACAGCATCTCTTACCTCATCTAGGGTAACAGACTCATCGATTTTCCTTAATTCAATTAAGGTTTTTGGGTTAAACGTGTTGATGTTTACCCTGTCTCCTATTGCACGGAAAATTGCTTCGCTTAGGGAAGTGGGGTCATAATCTTTCTCCAGGACAATCAGGAGTTCATTTTTACGTGTCCTCGTGATCGTCTGGATATTAGCGTTGTGTTGTTTCGGGTCAACCGCTATCTTCATTCTTTTTAATATTTCAGCATATGATTACCCTTCGTTGGCTGTCAGTTTGATGGCCTGGTTGGTGAGTCTTCTTTTCCTTGCCTTGTGGGTTTGATTGCCTTCTTTGGTGGAACTCTCCTTTTTCTTCACCGTCTTCCTCTGTTCCACTATGTGCCAGCTCTCATCGGGGTTTTGGTTTGGTTTTTCAGTAACCAGCTTTGTGACTTCATCCTGCTTGTCTTTCTTGTCTGGCCCCTTATCTTGTAGAGGACTTGGAGCTTGTCTCTTCTTCATGTTGCCTCTCATGCCGCATCTGTTTCTAAGTCTTGAGAGATCTACGCAGTCTGTCAGAATATGTTTAACTGTCAGAAGTCTTCCGCAGCTGCAGATGGGTTGTTCTTCATTTCTTAACATGTATGAAGAAGTCATTCTTTCATGGCCTATTCTTAGTCAGGTTATGCACACTTGTTCTCGTCGAGGGTAGCTGACATTTGGTGACCATTTACTGATATTTTTTTTAATGTGGTGTAGTTTCGTGTGAAGACTGTCTCATGTGGTCTGCCATTCTGTGAGGATGCACTTCGAGACAGCATTTCTTGCATCCTGAGCTCGTATTTCAATATCCATTTCTGATTGGATGTTCCTGGCACTTCGTGCTGCAGAATCGGCTTCTTCATTGCCTAGAATACCCACGTGTCCAGGGCACCAGATAAATGTAACTGATGCTCCTCGCTGCTCTAATTTATGGCATGCTATGAGAATCATTTGT